GTCAGGGCATGTGCCTGGGTTGTGAGTTTGATCCACGACTGGGTCACCTGCCGGAGGCAACCCACTGATGTTTCTCCCTCACATCTATGTTGTTCTCTCTCTCTCTCTAAACCTTCCTCTACCTGTAAAATCAATACACATATCCTTGGATGAGGATTAAATAAATAAATAAAAATAAAGCCATAACCATACTCATGGATTTGAAGGATTAATATTCTTAAAGTGTTCTTACTACCTAGAGCAACATACTGATTCAGTGTAAACCCTGTTGAAACACCAGTGGCATCTTTTCCAGAACTAGAACTAATTGTAAAATTTATATGGAACTAAAGATTCTAAATAGCCAAAGAAACCTTGAGAAAGAACAAAGTGGAGGTGTCATGCTTCCCAACTTCAAACTATATTACAAAGCTATACCGCATACAAAAACAAACTCAAAAGGGTAAAGACTTAAACGTAACACCTGGACCCATGAAACTCCTAGAAGAAAACTTAGCGGGTACACCCTTTGGCATTGCTCTTAGCAATAGCTTTTTGGATGTGTCTCCTTGGGCAATGGCAACAAAGGAAATATACACACATGGGACAACATCGAACTAAAAAGTTTTTACACAGCAAAAGAAACCATCAACAAAACAAAAAGACGACCTATTGAATAGGAGAAGATATTCACCAGTGATAAATTCTATAAGGGGTTGATTTCCAAAATATATAAGGAACTCATACAACTTCATGCCAAAAAGGAAAACAATCTGATTTAAAAATGGGCAGAGGGGACATAAAACACGAAGCAACAAGCTAACAAACAAACCAAAACCCTGATAGATACAGAAAACAGTGGTTACCAGAGGGGAAAGAGTGCAGAGGAGGAAAAAGAGGGTCAAATACGGGAACACACTATAGAGCAGGGGTGTCAAACTCATTTTCACCGGAGGCACATCAGTCTCGCAGTTGAACTTCCACAGGCGGGCGGAATGTAATTTTAGGACTATATACATGTAACTGCTCCTTAGCTAGAGGCAAGGAGCTGGGCGCTGCTGCCAGGTAGAAACAAGGTAGACAGCCGAATTCAGCCTGTGGGCCTTGTGTTTGCCACTTGCACAACAAAGTATACAGATGCCAGATTATAAAACTGTACACCTGAAATCTATACACTATTAACTAATGTTATCCCAATGAATTTAATTTTTTAAAGATTTTGTTTATTTATTTTTAGAGAGGGGAGGGAGGGAGAAAGAGAGAGAGAGAAACATCAATGTATGGTTGCTGGGGGCCATGGCCTGCAACCCAGGCATGTGCCCTGACTGGGAATCGAACCTGCGATGCTTTGGTTCACAGCCCGCACTCAATCCACTGAGCTACGCCAGCAAGGGCTGAATTTAATTTTTTTAAATGGGCACAGGACTTGAGTAGACATTTCTCCAAAGAGGACATACAGATGGAAAACAGACATATGAAAAGATGCTCTATGTCACTCATCATCAGAAAACTGCAAATCAGCCCTGACTGGTGTGGCTCAGTGAATTGAGTTCTGGCCTTCCAATCAAAGGGTCGCCACTTTGATTCCCAGGCTAGGACACATGCCTGGGTTGTGGGCCAGGTCCCCGGTAGGGGGCACGAAAGAGGCAGCCACACGTTGTTTTTCTCCCTCTTTCTCCCTTCCCCTCCAAAAATAAATAAATAAATAAATAAATAAATAAATAAAATCTTAAAAAAAAAAGAAAAATGCAAATTAAAACCACAATAAGACACCACCTCACACCTGTCAGAATGGCTGTTATTTAAAAAAAAAATCAACCAATAAAATAACATCCTGGTGTTGGCCAGGATGTGGAGAAAAGGGAGCCCTCGTGCACTATTGGTGGGATTGTAAATTGGTGGAGCTGCTATGGAAAATATAATGGAGATTCCTCAAAAAGGTGAAAATAGAGCTTCTGGGTGAGGGAAGATTAGAGAATGGAGGGATTGAGCAGAAAGGAAAAAGGACTTGTGGACATGGACAACAGTGTGGTGATTGCTGAGGGGAGGGGGAATAAGGGGATTAAAAGGTAATGGGAAAAAATACAATAAAGATTAAATTAAAAATAAATAAATAAATAAATAAATAAAATAATAAAATAAAACAAAATAAAAATTGAGCTTCCATACCACCCAACAATTCTACTTCTGGGTATTTATCCAAAGAAAACAAAAAGCTAATTTGAAAAGATACATGCATCCCTATATTCATTGCAGCTACCTATGTTCATGGAGGCAACCTAAGTGTCCGTCCACAGATGAGCTGATAAAGAATATACGCAATGGAGTATTACTCGGTAATAAAAAATGAAATCTTATTTTACAGCAACATGGATGGGCCTTGAGGGCATTATTCTAAGTGAAGTAAGCCTCTCATTTGGAAAGTGACTGACAAATACTGTATGATCTCATTTCTATGTATGTGGAATCTAAAGAACAATAAAGGAACTCATAGACTGGTACAGAGATACAGAGAACAGGTTGGACGTGACCAGAGGTGGTGGGTGGGGGATGCGCCAAAGGGGCAGCACTGCTCAGGGAATAAAAAGACAAGCCACAGACTGGGAAACAGAATTTGCAAATCACATAGTTGGTAAATGCCTTAGAATGCACAGAGAATTCTTGACAAATCAGTTTAAAAATGGGTCAAAGATTTAAACACTTCACCAAATAAGACACACAGATGTCAAGTGAACATATTAGAAGATACTCAACATGATTAAACATTGGGGAAATGCAAATTAAAGGCAGAATGAGCTCTGGCTGGGTGGTTCAGTTGGTTGGAACATCATCTGGAACACCAAGAAGGTTGTGGGTTCAATCCCCAGTCACAGTGCATGCAAGAGACAGCCTATCAATGTTGCTCTCTCACATCAATATTTCTTTCTCTCTCTCTCTCTCTAAAAATTAATTTTAAAAAATCCTCAGATGAGGACTAAAGGGAAAAAAGCTACAATGAGATACCTCTGTGCACCTTAAAAGTTGCTTAAATTACAAGGATAGCCGTTCCAAGTGTTTTTGATGATGTGAAGCAAATAAGTCTGTCATACACTGCAAGTAGAGATAAGGAATGGTACAACCACTTTGAAAAACTGTTTGGCAGTTTCTTAAAAAGTTAAACTACACCTATATTCTACTCACAGGGATTTAGCCAGGAGAAATGAAAGCATATGTCCATACAAAGACTTGCACACTTGTTCACAGCAGCTCAATTCGGAAGAGCCGAAACCCAGAAACAACCCGAAGGCCCACCAGCAGGCGAGTGGATGAACGAAGCGCCACAGGCCCCTGCAGTGGAATACGACTCGGCAGTAAATCAGTGGGCGCCTGCCACAGCATGTGACCCTCCACATACACTGAGTGAGAGAAGCCAGACAAAAATGTACATATTCTGTGATTCCATTTACATAAAATTCTAGGAACTGCGAACTAATCTCTAATGACAGAAAACCCATCAGTGGTTGGCTCAGGATGGGGTGGGGAGGAGGGAGGGGTCACAAAGGGCAAGGGGCAACTTTTGGGCACCATGGCTGTGCTATCTGCCTTGATTGAAGTGATACTTTCACAGGTGTGTACATAATGTGTCAAACTGATTAAACTGTACACTTTAAATAGTTTATTTTTTCATTTAATCAAAAGTATATATATATATGTTTTACATTCAATATTATTTTGTATTAGTGTCAGGTGTACAACATCGTGGTTAGACAATCATATGCTTTATGAAGTGTTCTCCCTGATGTTTCTACCTGGCACCATACATAGCTACTATAATATTATTTTTAAAAGATTTTATGTGTTTATGTATTTAATTTATTTAGAGAGGGGGGAAGGGAGGAAGAAAGAGAGGGAGAGAAACATCAGGGTGTGGTTGCCTCTCATGTGGCCCCCACTGGGGACCTGGCCTGCAACCCAGGCATGTGCCCTGACTGGGAATGAACTGGTGACCTTTTGGTTCACAGGCTCGCCCTCAATCCACGGAGCTACACCAACCAGGGCTATAATATTATTGACTATATTCTTTATGCTGTATTTTACATCCCATGACTATTCTGTAACTACCAGCTTGTACTTCTTAATCCCTTCACCTTTTTCACACATCCCCCAACCGCCCTCCCCTCTGGCAACAGTCTGTTCTCTGTATCTACAAGTCTAAATATTCACAGTTAATTATATGTCAGTTCCACTTCAAAAAAAGTTGTTAAAATGGAATAGATATAATTATATTTATAAAATACATGTAGGGTATTACAGATAATAACAGAACATTCTGTGTATCCATCACCTAGTTTTAAAAAGTAAACATAATCATCATTTTTGAAAATTTCCATATTCCCCTACCAGTCTAAAAGTCAGGTTTTCCTATTAAAAATGGATGTCAAGCTATTTTTTAATGCTTGTAATTCTCAAACGTGAATATTCTAAAGAACTATTTTTCATCTAAATTAACTGAATAATGCGGTAGTGCATAATTTGAAGTTCACACTTGCCCTTTACCCCTGACCAGTGTGGGTCCTCTAGCAAAGCTCCAGCAAAGCAAAAGGTCACCAGTTGGCACTTGCCTGTGTTGCGGGTTCAGTCTCTGTGAAAAGTAACCAATTGATTTTCTCTCTCTCTCTCCCTTCCCTTCCCCTCTCTCTGAAACATAATAAATGAAGTAAGAAAAGAAGGAACAAACGAACTTGTCCTTTAAAAATGAGCAGCCCAAAACAGTGACTTAAAAATAATTTTGTCGAGTTAGGGTCTGGAAGTCTCAGCACAGATTGCTAAAGGGAAAAAATTCTTGATAACTGTAGCCTGTAGGTACGTCTTTTCGACTACCTTTGCAAAGAACACAGGAGGAAGGGGAGGAAGAGGGGGCGGGGAGAAGGGCGGAGCGGAACAGGAAGAGGGGGTGTTGCGGAGAAGGCCCCCCTGGCTGCCATCTTCTGATAACAGTTTAACCAGGCTCCACCCACGGGTTCTGTTTTCTTTATAGAAGGCATTAGAAGACCTGGATGGGGAGTAAGGACACTGTGCACAGAAAACTGTGGTAGCTTCCAAGCCCAGAGAAGGAGGAGCAGGAACAGATTTGGAAAAAGGGATTGTAATCACCTTTCCATCTAAGGAAAAGCTAGGTTTGCTTCAAGAAAACAAAGCTATGAGTCAGCTTTTGCCAAAGGTCTATTAAGTGGGTGAAATGGGCCTTTTGCTCTTGATCTGACCTCTGCTGCAGCTTTCTCTTGTAGCACAGCCTGTCCCCTCCTCTGAAGCTGATAGGCTCTGGCCGGGGGCCAAACCTTGCCTCCTGCAGTTAAAGCAGTCAGGTCGCCAAACGGGCTGTTTTTTTCTCTTCCCAGTGATGGCGCTGGCCATCTTTATCCTCCGGCTGGCAGTTTGCATCCTGGTACTTCCCCTGTACTTGCTCAACTTTCTGGGCTTGTGGAGCTGGATCTGCAAAAAATGCTTCCCCTACTTATTGGTGAGGTTCAGTGAGATGTACAACAAACACATGGCCAGCAAGAAGCGCGAGCTCTTCAGCAACCTGCGGGACTTCGCCGGCCCCTCCGGGAAGCTCTCCCTGCTGGAGTTGGGCTGTGGCACGGGGGCCAACTTCAAGTTCTATCCGCCTGGATGCATGGTGACCTGTGTTGACCCCAACCCCAACTTTGAGAAGTTCTTGATCAAGAGCATTGCTGAGAATCGACACTTGCAGTTCGAGCGCTTCGTGGTGGCCGCCGGGGAGAACATGCACCAGGTGGCAGACAGCTCCATGGACGCGGTGGTCTGCACCCTGGTCCTGTGCTCCGTGGAGAGCCAGGAGCGGATCCTCCAGGAGGTGTGCAGAGTGCTGAGGCCGGTGAGTGAGGGGGTTGTGAGGAGGGCTGGTTAGCAGCAAACACCATCACCAAAGGCAGTCCTATCGATTTCAGCTAAATTCAAGTCTAAGGTTAAAAAGTAAACTAGAGAAGACACTATTGAATTTTTTAAAAATCTTAGAGTGGGAAAGAAGCTGTAGAGGGAACGACCGATAAATCTGAATACATAAAATTTTAAAACTGCAGGGAAAAACTACTACAAACAAAGTTAAAGTACAAAAACTTGGAAAAAGTATTTGCTAGGGATGATAGACAAAGGGTTTAACTTCCTTCATATTAAAAGACATTACAAGTCAAAAGTCAGGATTTTTTAAATCAGTAAGAAAAACACATGAGGGACAGTTGGTGAGTCCAGTGGCCACCGCGGGGAGAGGAGAGCGCAGCCGAGAAGGAGGCCCAAAGCCCCAGGCCCCCTACCACCGCCGGGTTACTGGGCCTACTCGCGGCTCCGCCCTCCCCGCCGCTCGGTCCCGCCCACTGCCTGCCAAGGGGTGGTGGAGGCTGCGAGGCCTGAGCCGCGGAAGCAGCTGGGCGCCTGCGGCTGCGCCTGCTGCTGCTGCTTACACTGCTAGGGCCTCGGCAAGGATCCCGGCTGTCTGCGACCGAGAGACCTCAGCCACCTGAATGAGGAGCAGCCGCAGCCCCTGGCCGTGGCCGTGGAGGGCCCCAGCCGGTCCTAGCCGAGGTGTGGCGTTCTTTACAAATTCGAGGCAAGACACCCCCTCCACACACACACACACACACACCCGCAGAAAAGTTATGACTTGTTTTATTGCGGTGGCCTGGAACTGAACCCATAATGTGCCCGAGAAAGGGCTCACACCAGCTGTCCCCGTTCATACCAATAAAGAAGTTCTAGATGTGGAAACTAATTTGGGATTTGGCCATGCACTTGTCACTGCCATTTCAGTTACCACTGTACCTGAACTGGATGATGAGGCGTTTTTTGCCACCGCCTATGGCTGCGCGCTCGGACCATCTGACAGTGCTGCCTGGTGCTCTGCTGGTCTGGGGCTTCATTACTCGCTATCAGTTTTGTTTGGCTGTGCTACCACCATCACCCCAGGGTCTACACCTACTATGTTTCCACTGCATTATTTGCCATTTTTGGCTTGGGAAGGCTTAAAGATGAGTCCACAGGGAGGTCAAAAGAAACTGGAAGAAGTTGAAGCAGAATTAAAGAAAAATGGTGAAGAATTTCAATGAACCAAACTCTTAAATGGACCAGATGTTGAAATGGGTATAAGCAGGATACCTCAGAAAAAGCGGCCGCATTTGATTTCACCCATGTTTGTTCAGGCTCTTGCATTAACATTCTAAGCGGAGGGGGGTGATCCCTCTCAACTAACTACGGTTGTTCGGGTTGTTCGGGCAGCGAGAGCGCCCCTGCCGCGGAGCCGTGGGAGGGGCAGGGGACTCGCCTTACGGGCTGGATCAGCTCTAACTGGAAGAGGAACAAGAGCACCAAAAAGTGTCAGAACTGTGAGGATCAGAGGAGGCGGCGCATTTTTGGCACTTGCTGCATTATTTATAAGTTCTGATTCTGGTTTTTAATAAGCTCTTGACACATCTGTATTTAGTTTAAGATGGGTAACTCTTGTGTTTATGTACATAGTGTACATTGAAACTAAAAGTAATGAAAATATTGTAAAAAAAAAAGAAAGAAGAAAAACGCCAGAGAAAAATAGGCAAAGAGCAGGAACCAAAATACAAATAAAAATAACCAATTATATGATACAAATGCTCAACCTTACAATTAACTAACAAATTAAAACAAGATACCATTTTTACCTATTATACTGTCAGAGACTTTTAAGGTCAGTATGGTGTAGGGGTGAGTTTGGGAGACTGGACACCCTCATACACACTGGAGAAAGTGCCCTCTTTGGAGGGCAATTTGATAATATCATATTATTTTATTATTAAATGTATTTCAGTGACGTTGGTTAATAAAATTACGTAGGTTTCAAGTGCGCACTTCTATAACACGTCATATATGTTGCACAGTGTGCTCACCACCCAATGTCAAATCTTCTGTTGACACACACTAGACCCTCTTTACCCTCTGCCACCTCCCCGCCCCCTTCCCCTCTGGAAACCACCACACTGTCGTCTGTGTCTGTGAGTTTTTACTTGTTTTGTTTGTTCGTTTGTTGTTTTCAGTTTTATATCCTACATATGAGTGAAATATGGTTCTTTTTCTGAAGGACTTATTTCGCTTAGCATGACATTCTGAAGACCAATCCATGTTGTCACAAATGGCAGTGTTTCATCTTTTCTTACGGCTGAGTAGTATTCCACTGTGTACATGGACCACGCCTTCTTTATCCAGTCCTCTACTGAGGGACACTCCGGTTGTTTCCATGGCTTGGCTGCCGCGAATGATGCTGCAGTGAATGCAGGGGTACATCTATCTTTACAAATAACTGTTTTCAAATTTTGCAGTAGATACCCAGAAGAGAGGTGGCTGGATCATATGGTAACGCTATTCTTAATTTGTTGAGAATTTTCTACATTGCTCTCCATAGTAGCCATCCCAGTTTGCATTCCCGCTAGCAGTGAACCGGGGCTCCTTTTTCCCTACAACCTCTCCAACACAGAAGAAAACATAGGTACTAAAGTTAAGGACTTTGGTCATAGGGAGGATTTTATAGATTTGACCCCAAAAGCAAAGGAAACAAAAGCAAAAATATAAAAATCTAAGGTGCACATACTCCTTTACCCAGTGTGAATTTATCCCATAGCTCTACTGCACAAATGTGAAAAAACTCATCCATAGGCAAAAATATTCATTATGGTTTGTGTAATAATACAAATTGGAAATAACCTAGAAGTCCATCAATCGGAGGCTATTCAAGTAAAATGCCACACAGTATAAAGGGCTTCTGTGCAGCTCTTAAAAACAACAAGGAACAGTTATCTATGTTGATATGAAAAAGCCCCCAAGAGAATGTTAAATGAAAAAATCAAAGTGCAGAAAGTGATGTAGAATATAAGCCTATTTGGGGGGTGGGGAGAATATACCTAAATACGTATTTCTGTTCATGGGAATGACAGACAAGAAACTGTTGGTAGTGATGCCTCTTGGGAATGGGACAAGGGCAGGGGAAGAGTGCCTTTCTGCATAGTTTGAAATTCTTAATGCTTCTATGTAGTTTCCACATATTGCCTTTATTTATTATTTGTTTAAAAACTAATTTAAGATAGTTTTATTCCAAATATAGTTGAACATAAATAAAGTGTGGATATCTTAACATTTGAATTTACTTTTCTAGGAGAAAAGGGCGTTCTGCAATCCCGAGTTCTATTTTCTAATAGAGGAAGTTCCTCAGGAAGAAAAGGACTTGAAGATAGGATTTACAGGCAATTATATAATTTTGTCTTTGGCTCAAGGATAGGCCAACATCAAAGTAATAAATGAAAAAGGTCTGATTCTTATGCCCAAAAGCTGGGTTCTTGTGTCCTAAGCCTGGGCACTGACTCGGCATGGTTAGCAGATGTTTTGTTCACAGTGTTGCTGATCTCACAAAACCCCTCCAGAGCAAGTAATTAACTTCTCTGTTGTACAGTACTGATAACACTCTGAAGGAGATCAAACTCTTGGTAGACCTCCATTGCTCCTGTGAAGCATCCACTCTGCTGAATAAAACCAGCTTTATTACAGTCTCATTTAACACAACAGTCCTGTAAAGTAGGCATTGTCTTCTTTTGGGTTGAGGAAACAGACCCAGAGAGGTTAAGAAACTTGCTCCAAGTCACACAGCTAGTAGGTCTTGCTTTAATGCAAACATTCTTACTGCCACTCCACATGGTCACTCGGGCTTCTTCTCTCTCTGACTTCCACGTTTCTGCCACCTTTGCTGACTGTTCTTCCTCCAGCCATGCCTAAATAGTGGGGTTTCCCTTTGATTCTCATTCCACTCACACAGCCCCCAGGGTAGTCTCACTCACCCCCAGAGGTTGCGAGTACCAGGCGTACTTAGACGTTTCCAAATCAGATGACATATCTAGCCCAGCTCCGTGTGTCCAGCTATCTGCCTGACAGTCTCCTGCATTATCCAGGGGTCCATACCGACCTCCCAGACCTGGCTCTCCTCCTTTCTCTCCTGTCCTGTTCTATGGTTGGCTGGTTGGTTAGTTTTTATCAGGAAATTTCAAGTTTTCCATTGATGAGCATAGATCTCAGACTCACTCAGAGAATTTGGGGGAACTCCATCTGTCAGCTCTCTGCCTTGGAGAGCCAAGACTAGGGCAGCTAGAAGGGACTAAGAATGGGGGGCAGTCACTGCAGGTTTTGGGGGTGACTGTCAGGACCCGTTCCCCCTACTCACCTCAGAGACAGGCAGAAAACTTCTGAGGACCTCCTAGTAACATGGAAGCCTTATTTGTCTAGACTCGACCTGTATTTATAGGACTGTCCTATATAAAGCAGCACTTTCAAATTCCTACATGACAGTGATTTACACAGGGCATCCACTGATGGAATAAAATACCAACTGACAAAATGTCAGCATGGACTTGGTCACACTTTTAGATGATTCAGTATTGTAGTCAGTCACACGCATGTTCTTGTGACAATGGTATCAAAGTATAGGACATGGTTATTCAGTCTCAGGAGGCACTCGGTGTGGATTCAGACTCTCTCCCAGGCTTGCAAAGCAGAGCCTGAGAACAATTTTCACATGAATTAAAAGATTTTTTAAAATAAAGAAGTAGAGATTTTAAAAAATATTTTACTTATTTATTTTTAGAGAGAGGAGAAAGGAGGGAGACAGAGAGGGAAACATCAATGTGTAGCTGCTTCTTGCATGCCCCTCATTGGGGACCTGGTCCGCAACCTAGGCATGTGCCCTGACTGGGAATTGAACTAGCGACCCTTTTGGTTCACAGGCCAGAGCTCAATCTACTGAGCCACACCAGCCAGGGCAGAAGGAGAGATTTTTTTAAGAGTAATTAAAAGGCAATTAACAAACTGGGGAAAACATTTGTAGTATAGCCTTATTATATTAAAAGTCCTTAGTAATCAGTAAGAAAAAAAAACAACACTCTATTACAAAATTGATAAAGGACATCAACAAGCAAATTAGAAAAGAAAAAATCTAAATAATAAGGGTTAGTAAAAGATGTTATATCTATTAAGAATATAAAAGACATGCATAGTATTGAAAATGAAATACCATTTACCCATCAAATTAACAAAGATATGGGGGTTAAGTACTAATGAAAGTTTATTGGCAATGGGTGTTCACATCCATTGCTAGTATGAATATAAATTTGCTACACCTTTTCCAAAGGGCAATTGGACAGCTTATACTGACAGCTTTTAAAAGGCACAGACTTTTGACTCAGCAAGTCCACTTTTTAGCGAGTTACTTATTTGGAAAGAATGAGAGATGGTCACAAAGATTTATGGATAAGGATAAATATGGATAACCAATTTATAATAATAGAGAAAAATTGGAAATAACCCAAATGAGAATAGTTAAATAACAGATGGTAGCTTCAGTTGTGTGAAATACTGTGTACGATTTTTTAAATTATGTTTTAGAATACTGTTCAGACACATACATAAAATTAAGCAGGTTACAAAATAGAACATATATTTCAATCCTAGTTTTAGGAGAAAAATACATCTTCATATATAAAAGCTTACACAAAACCTTAACAGTAGTTATCACGAGGTGATGGCTTGGTAGTTGATTTTTTAAAAAATCTTTTCTGTATTTTCTAAATTTAAAAAGAAGTTTTTTAAATAAACATGTTGGTGAGACAGTACTGCCAGCCTCCGGAGCCTCCCCGCCGAGGCTCAAAACCCCATTCTGACCTTTACCAGTTGGTGAATGAGGCGAGGTGCTTGTTTCCCGAGTGCCTCCTTTCTCAGCCCCCTGGTCTGTAAAACAGGAGTGATAACAGCAATGCTTACTACATAAATGTACTGGGGGGTCGAGTTCACAGATGATGGGCATTAGGGATATAGCCCCTCGGACACAGTAACTGCTTTATGTGCTAGCTATCATTGTGTATGTATTATGTATTGCTTTATGATCAGAAAACAGAAGTGTGAATGACTGCTTTAGACTGTGGCCGCTCTGTGTACAATTCGACTGAGGATGAAACTATTGATCAAAATGATATCTTAGTAAGTTTTAACTTATCTGTGTCTTCTCATGGACTTGACCTTTGGGGCCACTGAAATCTGATGCTTCAGTCATCTTATGAGTTTGTTTTCCCCAAACTAAAAGTCTTGGCATGTGTTTCCTTTTCTCTTTTTCAGGGAGGGGCTTTTTATTTCATGGAGCATGTAGCAGCTGAGCATTCAACCTGGAATTACTTCTGGCAACAGGTCCTGGACCCAGCCTGGTATCTCCTGTTTGACGGGTGCAACCTGACCAGAGAGAGCTGGAAGGCCGTGGAGAAGGCCAGCTTCTCCCAGCTGAAGCTGCAGCACATACAGGCCCCGCTGACCTGGGAGCTGATGCGCCCTCACATCTATGGATATGCTGTGAAATAGTGCGAGCAGGGAGTAAAAAGCTGAATGAATGGCTCGAATAATGTAAGGCTTCAGTTTTATACTTAAAATACTAATTGGGAGAAGAGAAACCCTCTTTGAGATAAAGTTGAATTTCATCCCCAAAAGTTTACATTAAACCCTATTTAGCCAGTTTCTATTGCCTCCCAAAAAATCAAAAACAAAACAGCTTTGAACTCTCCTTTAGAAGGAAATGGTAAGCTTTGATCATTGAAGTCTACCATTATCCCCAAACCTTAGTTTATTCAGTAACTTCAAAATGTTTCCAAATGCCTTATTTAAGTCATACCCAACAGATTTGAATTTCACCTCCTCTTTGAGAGTGTGGTGAAATAAGCAGTTAAATCATGCAAAAGAAGACTTGGAAAAAGGAGAAATAAAAAGATCTTGCCCTGGTTGGTATGGCTCAGTGGATTGAGTGCAGGCTGTGAACCAAAGGGTCGCTGGTTCAATTTCCTGTCAAGGCACATGCCTAGGTTGCAGGCCAGGTCCCCGGTAGGTGGCGTGCTAGAGGCAACTACGCATTGATGTTTCTCTCCCTCTCTTTTTCCCTCCCTTCCCGTCTCTCTAAAAATAAATAAAATCTTAAAAAAAAAGATCTTAATGACTCACAAACTGAATATATATATACACCTGTTGAAAATCCAAATCTAAATAGCACAGATTTGTTAAAGAAATCTGAATCTATTTGTTCTCTTAGTGTTGCTGGGCTGGCTTTCAAAATTGATGTACCAGGATGTCACCCCTAGTTCTGCCACCTCTGTCACACCTTTCATTCCTCTGTCCACCCAAGTGTGTTTTTCTGCATTCCAGTTTTCAATCCTTTAGATGAAACTATATCAGAATTATATCTGACAATTTAGTATGTCCGTGAAACTACCTGAGGCAATTAAGGTTCTTGGGTTCATTTTCCTTATAATCGTGCACACACTTCGCTGAATGCAGTCAACTGCAGGCCAGGAAGAGACCCACTGTAATCAGGAAATCTTTGTATAATTAGGTACAGCTTGTAAGAGTCCCTAAAAACCAGCAATCTGTGAGTCTGTAAAGAAACAGGTATATTTTTTATTCAGATGAAATTTCCACCCCTTTCCCAAGATGATGTCTTTGTTCCTAGCAACCAAGTGCTTTCAAAACAAGTGTTGAGTTGATCAGTCAGAGGGTTTAAGTGTAGGATTTTCAGCAATAGTTTACATGTCTTTTCATAAATTTAGTATATTTTCTGAGATGCTTTTGCAAAAGGACTACTTTAAATATCAAATCAATAAATTCATATGCATTTTAGGAATGACAATAAAACAAGTGATTTATATATTTGCTGGCTTGGTTTCATTTTTCTTAATGTCTCTGGGAGGGCTTTAAGGGCTTGGAAAGTTAAGCTATTTGAACGTGCAGATTTTTCTTTCTCCAGCCAAGTAGCTATAAACACAGCTAGCAGATCCTAGAAAAACCAATTTTGGAAGGATCAGAACGCATTTCGAAAGATTCAAGTCCAAAGTTTGTGTGATCTGTAGAGCAGCAAGTGAGGAAGTGTACTGTTCTCTTTTGAACATGAAAACAATTACCGTTGCAGCGAGGCTGGGACACTGACCTAAGGCCTCCTGGGCACTGGAACATGAATCTCCTGCCTCTGGAGTCTCCCCAAATCCTTAACCTGCCCACCTCACTATTGTTTAGGTTAGTCTAGTGACTGAGAAATACGAAAAGCCACAGTTTGCGTGCTGAATGGTGTGGCTCAGTTGGGTGTCGTCCTGTAAACCAAAAGGTCATGGGTTCCATTCCTGGCCAGTGCACATGCCTGGGCTGTAGGTTCAATCCCCAGTGGGGCATATCTGGGAGGCAACTGATTGATTTTTTCTTTCATTGATGTATCTCTCCTCTTTCTCCCTCCCTGCCCCCTCTCCATAAATAAAAAAATAGCCACAAGTTGACATGATGAAATGTTACTGGCATGTTGGAAGGTAAGTAACAGTGCAAGGTACTGGACACATGCTTACTAATTCCTTCTTGCCTCAAGTGGTTTGGAAAACATTATCCTCAACTTCTACAGACAGCACTGAGGTGTAGAGAAATAAATAAATGAAGTTTCTGGCATTCCACAAGTTACAAAGCAAGTCTTACAAGCCCTGCTTCCCAAGACCACAAAACCTGTTTTGACTATGATTGCTAATATTACCTTCTCACTGCTTTCCTCCTCTGGCCTAGAAAATTTATGGTTACTCCAACAGCCTGAGGAGTGAGTCTCAATTGGCTATTACCGACAATACAGAGTCACAAGCCATTCCCTGAACTAATCGTGTTTAAATGGGGTGGATTATGCTGATTGTATCAAGTACAGGTCACAGCGTTCCCTCCCTGGGGGTGAGACGAAGAGACTTGTGGATCATCCAGATGGAAACAAGGCCTCTGGCTCTGGCTGGTGTAGCTCAGCTGCTTGAGCACTGGCCTGCGAACCACAAGGTCACCGGGTTATTACTGATCTGGGCACATGGCCGGTTCGTAGACAGGTCCTCAGCTGGGGACGTGCAGGAGGCAACCAGTTGATACTTCTCTCACATATCAATGTTTCTCTCCCTCTCTCCTCCCCGCGTCTCTAAAAATAAAATAAAAAATATCTTTTTAAAAAATTGATGAAAACTAAAGCGGGAATGGATGTAGGGAAGGCACACCATAAATGCCCAGTATAAACTCATTGCATTTCAATCAGACCCTCTGTCTGCTCTCCTGGGGTGGATCACATGGCACTGTGCTTACAACGCTGGCTTGTCAGTGGGATAACTGTGTGCAGTGAGGAAAATAAAAGATAAAATGACACTGGCTTCAGCATCAAAGTGATCTAGGCCAAGTCCTAGCTGTATCATTCATCGCCTGTGTGACCTTGAGCAAGTCACTTCTCTAGTCTCACTTTCTTCCTCTGTTTTGGGGATAGTTTCTACCTAAGGGGGTATTTTGAGGCGTTAATGAAGTGAAGCACTTGGTGCTTAATAAATGTTGATCTTCGGGCAACGAATGTGTGGGTGCCTGCTGCGTGCTCTGATTCTTTGTGCTTGCTCCTCTCTCACGGAGCACGCAGTTGCAACGCTGTAGGAGCTGGGGCACCGGAGAGTGAAAGCTGACCCACCCAGGAGGAAGAGGGTCAGAGGCCTTCTTGAGGAAGTAGCTTCTGAGCTGAATTCCAGAAGATGAATATAGAGTATTTCGGCTTAATGGAACCGCTTGCGCCACAGACAGATGAAAGGAGGAAGCACGGTCTATTGAAGGAACTGAAAGAAAGTTGGCACAGCTGGGCAGCAGAGTCTGAAAGGCGGGTTTGGGGAGGGCAATTATTTCCATCAGTTTCTCGCTAATTTTTAAGAACCTGGACCCATGAGCTCAACACTTACTTCAAAGGCTAATGAAAAACACATTAAAATTTCTTTTATTTAGATTATAAAACATTCTGATCCTAAGTGTTCTCTTTCTTCTAAATTCCTACACGTTTTACACTTGAGCAGAGACTGAACTGCTGCATAATAGTTCTTTTTGTCCTCTTGATCCTGACATAAGCCTTTCTCTTCAGTATTTCTTTGGAAAACGCAGAACTTAACAGAACTGAAATTTAATTCTTGTTTATCTGTTAAGGTAACTGAAGGGACAACCTTCTTTCCCCCTTCCCTGGATTTGCCCCCTCACACAGCATGGAAAAACAGCCGCTCAGCAGACAACTCTCCTGGGTAGAAAGAAGTGGCTGCCCAGGCAGGCACCAATACCTACTCCAGATCGTGATCGCTTGAACCAGAAAATGCTTTTTAAACCGGTCTCCACACCGCCATGTCTTCACCACCCGTCTTCACGCTCATAACTTCTAGAACAGTTTATTTTTTTATTTATTGCTGTTAATTACAGTTGTCCCAATTTTTGGCCCTTGACCCGCTCACCCCCTTATTCTAATTTTTTATTAGTGAATTGATTTTGACACACAGAGAGAGAAACATTAATTTGTTGTTCCATTTATTTATGCATTCATTGATTGATTGTTGTCTGTGCCTTGACTGGGGATCAAACTCACAACCTTAGTGTTCTAAGCAACTGAGCTAGCCAGCCAGAGCCCCGAACACTTCAATTTGGCCATTCCCACAACTGAACATCACGACGTGTCTACTCAACAGAAGACTGAATGGAAGCCGCTCAGCTCTGCATTCAGGATCGTCTGTCAACTGACACCTCAACCCTTTTCCACACTTTGTAGTCCAGTGGGAAAAGCACGGGTTCGGAGTCAGAATGCTCTACACCACATCTTCTTCTCACGTATCTTACTAATATTTGATTTCACTTGGTATGTGAGGATAACTCCTATGTCTCCTAGGGCTCTTGTGAAGATGGAATGAGATAAATACAGAAAGTGCGTTGTAGACTGTGTCCTCGTGAGCGATGAGCACTGGTGTCTCCCGAGACACCTCACGCTGCTCAAGGCCCCGCCTCCTGGAGCATTTGTGAGAGTAACCAAATGAAGTGTGTTTTTCTATCAGAAAAGATATTTCACTTCAATAAATGTGGTCCTGGAATTCCATTTGACTGGATTATTGGACATTATTCTGTTTTCTGAAGGTTCAGTGTAAAGAAACCTCCCATAAAAAGTAACTGGGCAATGCTCTCATTTTTGCACCCAACAGTAAAAAGCCCGGCCCCCGCGTGAAATGCACTTGCTCCCGTGGCTGCAAGTAACTCCCACGCAGAGTGCTGTGGGTACGACAGGATTTCCTGCATCCCTCCAATCTCAGCTCCCATTTTATCCGTCAAGCTAAGCAGGTGCTACTCAGGCTGCAAAAGAAGTAGCACTCAGTTCGAATTCTATCTCATTTCTGAGGTATGAGGACGGATTATTAACTGTGATGCCAGAGAAAGGTTTTTCAAATGCTTCTGTCCACCAAAGCTTAGCAACAAAGAAATCTGAAAACCTTTTTCTAAAACAGCAAAGGCTGCCTTAAAATATGTATTTTTATCAATATAAATGGTGCCATATACCACATTGCTTGCCAATGCACACAACTCCATTTGCCCGGATATCACAAGGGAATGTTGGAGAATGTGGACACTACTAATACATTGTTAACCCGTCAGCCCACATTTTTGCTATTGTGCTTTTATTTTCTACCCGTCATCTGGGTAGGAGCCCTTCTGGGATCCTGAGTAAAACTTTCTAAAGAAACATTTGCCTTATGCTCACAGAGCACCTAGATGACACATAGGTCTGAAAATGTGAGAATTAGGTACAAAACGTGCTACCAAAATACTAGTTATTAGTTCTTACAGGGCCATAAGAGACTCCTTATAAAAGGTACAGAGCCTCTCACTAGAAAAGGTATACAAATAAACACACCATTTGAGAGGAAAACAGGCACCTGTCTAGGCATGTTG